ATCTTGTACAGTGTTTCTAAAGATCGTTTTTTAATCTGTTCTACTTTGTCAAAAGAGAAGATCACTGTGATTCTACATTCGAGGGGGAGAATGCTAGAAGATCTATCTCAACACTTGATTGCTTGAAGATTACAAGTTAAAGATTTCTTTTGAAAGATGACATATTGTGCTTAAAGTTTCAAAGTTCAAACAAGGACTCAAAGTGCAGAATTTTCTTTCAAGTCTGAATACAAAGGGGGAGAATGTTAGGATTGAAAAATCAGTATTAATTGTATTCGTCTTGAAAGTTAAATATAGTCTGTAATTGTAAAAGTCAGCGTGTTTGACTTTTCTTATAGGAGTTTGACTTTGACTATGTTTAGTAGGTTTGACCATATAAATATGGTTTGTCTTTGTAATTAGAGGKAGGAGAGCTTATTTGTAAATACAATACGTAAAGAGAGGTTTGACTAGAATTGTAAAGATTKACTTTCTCTCTCAATGTTCTTGATGTTCTTGAATGCAATATCTTAATCTGCCACTGTTGTGAAGTAAATTGAAGATTGATCAGTGATTTTAGGGACTCACAATTGGTTTATGCATTGAAATGTTTTATGCATATGAAAACCCGTGAGCTCACCAACTCTTTGTAGTTGACTCGTTTTTGTTCCATGCTTTTCAGGTGGTAAGTAAGATTTGTCTCAMGTGGGAGCATACTCGTGTCAAAGCTGATTTAGTTAGAATCGAAAGTTTTTGCAAATGAAGAATTTTATAAGATTTTGGTTGTAAAATTTAACTCGCTTTATTATGTAAAACTTAATGTTGTTATCTATTAATCGTCGCTGTGACACGCTTGCCTGTTGCACCTCGCGTTTCCGCTTTAGCGGGGTGTGACAACTAGGCCTTTATTGTTTGACCCTATAAATAGGGTGTTAGTCTTGTAATCTTAGAAGGAAGCTTAATTGTAAAATTCATTACGTATAATAGAGATTGACCAGACTTTGATTGTTGACTTTTTCTCTCAAACTCTCATCTCCTCTCATGTTCTTGAATGCTAAAATCCAGATCTGCCATGGATTGCTTAGGAGTTTATCTTGAAGATTGATCATAGGAACACACAGCAACCATGCTGATTTCAAACAGTTTATCTAGACCTGAATTTGTTTGGGAAAAAACTTGGCAATACTTAACAGATAGGATTCTATACAATCAACAAATTGCTTTACAGTCGCCAGGTATGTTAATTCTATATCTTAAGCATAGAGTTATACAACTATTATCAAAAACTATGGTTGTTATTGAATTGTATCTACTTTTAATTTCATGTAGTAACTGTGTACATTTATATTATCTTTAACAGATTTAGCTCTTAATGAAGAACAAGTGAATAATCTAACTTTGTTCGAAATTGAAAAGATTTTGCTTCGTAACAATTCCACGTTGAAAAACTTTACCACACTGCCTTATCCTGATAATGACTCGCTTGAATCCTCAAACAACCGTTTGATTGTAGAAGAACTGGATTATAATCATCATAATTTAGGAGATGAGTTTCACACGCTTGTAACTGCTCTTACAGATGAGCAAAGAGGTGTGTATGATGAAATCATGATTGCAGTTGAAAAGAAAAAAGGTGGTGTATTTTTTGTTTATGAACATGGCGGAAGAGGCAAAACATTCCTATGGAAGACCTTAGCTGCATCAATAAGATCTAAAGGAGAGATTGTTTTAAATGTTGCTTCCAGTGGCATTGCATCTTTACTTCTTACCGGTGGCAGAATAGCACACTCTCGTTTTCACATCCCGCTCATTCTGAATGAAGATTCTCTTTGCCAAATGAAGCCAGATAGTGATGTTGCAGGCTTAATAAAGAAAACTACTTTGGTAATATGGGATGAGGCACCAATGGTTCATAAATATGCATTTGAAGCATTAGATAGAAGTATGAATGATATTTTCAATGCTCAATGCAGTGGTGACTCAAATATGATTTTTGGGGATAAGGTAATTATTTTTGGAGGAGATTTCAGACAGATTATGCCGGTTATTCCCAATGCAGGTAGATAAGACATTGTAAATGCATCATTAAGTTCATCTTACATTTGGGAAAAATGCAAAGTCCTAAGGTTAACTAGAAACATCAGGCTAACTACAAACAGTGAAAGTTCAGAAATTGGACAAACAAGGGATTTTGCAAAATGGATTTTGGACTTAGGAGAAGGAAAAGTTGGAGGTGATAATGATGGTGAAGCAGTTATTGAGATACCTCATGATATTTTCATTACCGATTGCATTGATCCTATATCTGCATTAATCGAATTTGTCTATCCCTCAATTCTTGAAAACATCAATAACTGAGCTTATTTTCAAGAATGAGCAATACTTGCCCCAAAAAATGAAGTAGTTCAAGAAATAAATGATTGCTTGTTGTCATTGTTTCTATGAGAAGAAAATGAGTACTTAAGTTCAGATACATTATGTGAATCAGAGCACCTTCATGATGAGTTCGATAAAACTTTGTACTCTCCTGATGTTTTAAATGGTCTTAAATTATCAGGAATATCAAATCATAAGATTCTACTAAAAGTTGGTGTTCCTATCATGTTACTGAGGAATATTGATCAGAAATCTGGATTATGTAATGGTACTAGACTACGTGTGTTAACATTGGGAAATCGAGTAATAGAAGCACATGTCATATCTGGAAGCAATATTGGAAGTCGTATATTCATTCCAAGAATGTCCTTAACACCTACGGACAAAAGGATACCATTCAAATTTCAAAGGAGACAGTTTCCAATTGTCGTATGTGTTGCCATGACCATTAATAAGAGCCAAGGACAATCATTGTCAAAAGTTGGTTTATTTCTAAGACAACCAGTCTTCACGCATGGTTAATTATATATTGTTTTATCCAGAATCAAAAACAAAAAAGATTTAAAAATATTAATTATAAATAATGAGACATTATTGACAGTAAAACAACCAATATTTTCCAATATGGGTCAAAATGGTGTTTGACCCTTTCTTTATGACATGTATAAATAGTTGTGCATGTAAGTACAAACCTTTCTGTACCCAATTGATCTCGAATCATGTCATGACAGGGGCATTTATGGCAACTCAACTCCAAAAAATAATTTTCTATACATTTTATTTAACACTCTGTAAATCCTTACCTATACATGCATATTTATGTATATATACATCTCTCTCTCTCTCTCTCTCTCTCTCTCTCTCTCCCTCCACTCTGTCTTCTTCTCATATTCTCTCTCTTCCATTCATCATTCCTCTAAAAGCTTATCTCCCTCTTCATACATTCACTCATTTCTTCAAGAAATTTGCATCAATCAGAAGTAACGAATTTAGTAACGATTTAATCATCTCCAGGTTTGATCAGTCGTGCGATTTCATACGCTTCGGGCTTCACCTCCGGCCTTTTGGAGTTCAGAAGAATTTTGGTAGGGTTTTGGGGATGTAACTCGGCAGAGTGAGTTTTAATGCACGTTTTTGGAAAAAAAATGTGATCATATGAAGGGTGTCGTAAAGTCAAAGAAGCAAAAAAAAATTGTTGTCGATTGAGTGGCTCAACTGTTCTTGCTGAAATTTAGGGCTTTTCGAAGCATAAATCGGTTGAATCAAATCGTATTTAGTTCAGGTACTTGGTTTCTTGAATTTCTGGTACATTCTTCTGGATTTCTTTTCGTTTTTATACGATTCGTTTATAATCCACATTGTTGTGTAAAATTCATGCAATTAGTTATGGAATTCTTCAAGAAATTTGAGGGTTTCTGCAGTGGATTATTCTTCTGAAAGTGTTCTAGGAACGCTTTCCTTGGAAAAGTTGCCTAAAGCTTTCTCTCTATTTGCTTTTTAGTTATCCGTTGGTTTACAAAGAGAATCAGATTCTAGAAGCTTCAACGGTCTGGGATCTTTAAGCTTCTTTTGGGTGTTTTAAGTTGTAAATTCAGTTAAAAAGTTCCTTCTTGGCTGTTTTGGATCACATCGGCATATATTTCTGCCTTCTCTCTTCAAGGGTTTTGTTTTGTATCAATTCGTGCTGGTTCTCGGTAAATTGATGCATCGATGGGGCTTCAATTTCGAAGTCTCTCGATGCTTGTTTTGTTAGTTTGGTTGTATTGGTGGCCACGAGTTGAATCTCAAGTGCCTGGTCCTGAAATAAGGTCTGCAAAGGCTCTTGATGTTATCCTACAAGACTATGCTTATCGAGCTTTTGTTCGACCACGTACCGGCATTCCCTACGATGGGGCACCCCCTTCCAATTTGTCTGGGATTCAGATATCAGCAATGAGGCTTCGGAGTGGTAGCTTGTACATGAGAGGTGTTCAAATGTATAAAGAATTCACAATTCCAGTTGGGGTTAGAGAGGAGCCCTATGTGGAGAGACTAGTTCTGGTCTATCAAAACCTCGGGAATTGGTCCACCGCTTATTACCGTTTGCCCGGCTTCATGTATCTAGCTCCTATACTGGGTCTTCTTGCTTACGACGCATCAAACTTATCGGCTAAAAATCTACGAGAATTACACGTTCGTGCTTCCGAAGAACCCATTTCAATAGAGTTTAGACAAGTAAAGCCTGTCCCTGATGGTTCGATTGCAAGGTGTGTCTGGTTTGATCTAAATGGTCGGACAAATTTCACAAATGTTACATCTGGCAATAAATGTGCGACTTTCGAACAAGGGCATTTCTCTATTGTAGTGGAATCCACCGCCCCTTCTCCTTCTCCGGCATCCCCAATACCTCAAGTTCCTACACCAAGTCATGGCGGTGGAGGGAACAATTCCAAGGTCTGGACTATTGTTGGATCTGTAATTGGTGGAGTTGCATTGTTGGTATTGTTGGCATTGTTGATGTTGTTGGCATGGAGATTTAATAAGAGGAAGAAAATGCATCGAATGGAAAAGGCTGCAGAAGCCGGTGAAGCATTGCACATGACTACGGTTGGGAACACGAAAGCACCAGCGGCTACAACCACAAGAACACAGCCAACCCTGGAAACCGAATACGTGCCATGATTCATATTATTGATGCTTTAAGGTATTCTTCCAACGGTTCATTCTTTGGTAAGGTTGTTGCTGTATGTAGTGTGAGGGTGTTCAAATGCTCCTGTGTGAATAATTACTTCAATCTCACAAAACCTGTTCATACTTCGATGATTTGTTGTGTGCATTTTAGGTGTTTAGCCAAGAGTGATTCTATTCATATGGTAAATTTTGTGAACCATTGTCAAAGAATAAATTCTTTTTGCATGAATTTTGAATATTCTCTTTACATCTTACCCAACCACCCCATATCAGAATATATTGGATTTGTTTGGTTTATATGTATAGAGTTACATGATCTTTCTATGGATTTTTGATCTTGGAGGCCAAGTTGTAATGATTGAACTGCTTTGTTTGATTGCTTTTGCTTGGGGCATTTGGCATCAATTATTGCATTACAATTTGTGCATACAAATACAATATACAGTGCTTACAGTTAGCTGCCTACAACTTGCGTACATTTTGTCAAAGACCTTCCAGCCTAGTGGTAAAGGTTTGGGCATGGCATAGTCATGAACCCGAGTTCGAGCTCTGGGAGGGAAGTGTTGGCGACATTTAAGTGGGGCCATGTATAGCCTCCAAATTTGCCGGGGATTAGTCGGGCTTTGGCCCGGACACCCTTACAAAAAAAAAAACTTGCGTACATTTTCCCTTCTTTTTTTCTTTAAATCATAGTGAAATGAAGAGATGAAACAATATTGGGTTGCTATTTTAATTGCACTTTTACATACATACCTATATATATATATATATACATTCCTATATATATATAGAGAGAGAGAGGAGTGATCAAATAAAAACCGCCCTTATTTGTGTAAACCATGCAAACCACTTTCATCCGTCAATTTCATTGTTTAATCTTATGAAATATATATATATATATATATATATATAAATATATATATATAAATGGGCAGATTCAAACGAGAATGTTAATTATTTAAGAAAAGAAGAAAAAGGTGCTTAATGTACAAAATCATACATGATTCAGTGCGACTTTGTCCGCGACTTAAATCACGGCAAAAGTCGTCTGATTCCATTTTTTGACGTTAATGTAAAATCACATGTGATTTCGTACGTCAACGACCTTTTAGAGAGAGAGAGAGATAGGGACCCTTGTGTCTGTTTTTGGCTGTCTTTTGCCCTTTTGTTCTTCCAGGTGTTAATATACTAATATTTTTCATTCTTAAACATTAAAGTATGTAGGTCATGTATTAAAATCTCTAGGTTAATTTTTGTTTTGTGTAGATAAACATGATATCCAATTGTTTACATGTAAGGTCCAAGTGAACTAATTAAACAAAACCGTTGTTTGTAAAAGATTGCTGTAATAAACGACAAATATTGGTAGCACTTTAGCATAATCTTGTTCCATGAAATGATGTAATAATTGCTATTGAAGAAACCAAAAATGAGCAACAAGAAAGGTATTAGGTTCAAATCCAGTCCCGACTACCTTGTCCTATAATATCGTGATTTACCTCATAATGACGATGAGTGTTACGGTGAACGTGTTTTAGAGATAACACAACCACGATCACATCAAAGTCTTAGGGGTTGTTTGTTTACCTCTTAATAGTTCCATTAAGAGACAGTATCTGAATCGTTAAGAGGTAAATCTTGTTTGACAAAAAAAAAGTCTGCCTCTTAATGGGTTCTAAAACCCTCTGAATGATTTTGTATCATGCCTCTTAATGGTTCTAAAAGTCTGCACCTGATTCATATTTTGAGGAACCAACTTGCAAAATAATTATAGAAAAATGGGAAAATTACACCAAAATAGAACCAACTTTCACATGATTCCTATTTTGGGGAACCAACTTTTAAAATCGTCATTTAGGGGTCTTTATCAAACTTTTTGTTTATTTAAGGGTCTGGTTGATCTATTGAACATGTAACATGTAATTTAAGGGTCTCTATCAAACTTTTGGTTGGATTTGCCAAATTTGATTTAAACTTTAATATTGACACAGATTGGTTAGATATAAATATCTTGAATGTGATATTTAATATTTATTTTTTTATTGCATCAATTAATTTTTTTCTATTAAATTGATTTTTTTATTGCATTAATAAAAAACAATTTTTATCGTGGTAATTTGGATTTTTTTTCGAAAAAATCTTCAATTTGATATCTAAATTAAAAAAAAAACGAGATTTGAAATGAAAAATAGATTTTATTGCATTAATTATTGAAAAAAAAAACGAAGTTTAGTTATTTTTCTATAATTATTTTGTAAGTTGGTTCCCCAAAATAGGAATCATGTGAAAGTTGGTTCTCCAAAATGACGATTTTGCAAGTTGGTTCCCCAAAATAGGAATCAGGTRMAAGTTGGTTCCCCAAAATAACGATTTTGAAAGTTGGTTCCCTAAAATAGGAATCAGGTGAAAGTTGGTTCCCCAAAATAACGATTTTGAAAGTTGGTTCCCCAAAATAGGAATCAGGTGAAAGTTGGTTTCATTTTCAAATTTCACCTGATTCCTATTTTGGGGAACCAACTTTTAAAATTGTTATTTAGAGGTCTCTATCAAACTTTTTGTTTATTTAAGGGTCTGGTTGACCTGTTAATGCTGACATCATCCAGATTTTTTGCCAACTAAGATATTACACATCATATTAATTTTTTAATTTTAAAACTAATATTCCACGTCATATTTAAAATTGCAAAATAGTTGTAGAAAAATAACTAAAATTCATTTTTTTTTTCCAAAAATTATTGCAATACATTTTTTTTCATTCCAAATATCGTTTTTTTAAATCCATATATCAAAATTGAAGATTTTTTCAAAAAAAAAAAATCTAAATTACCAAAATAAAAATTTACTATTGCAATAAAAAAAATTAATAGAAAAAATTAATTGATTCAATAAAAAATAATTATTAAATATCAAATTCAAGATTTTTATATCCAACCAATCCGTATCAATTTTAAAGTTTAAATCAAACCAAAATAAAAGTTTGTTAACAGCGTTCAAATCATCAAGATTAGAATAAAGTCGATGACAAAATATTGTTACAAAAAATGGTTGGAAATCTTCAATCTTCAACTGCTTAAATCATCCTTATCAAAGTTAATGTAACACCTCGGTTACGATTTCACCAAAACATAACATACGAGATATCATTTTCTAAGTAAACCACCAAATTCTAAGACACATGCACGTAGCATATCCTCAAGGGTCTGAATGGTTCGTTCTGATTGGCCATCAGTCTGAGGATGATAGGCCGTACTAAACGCATGAMGTGTTCCCAACTCTCGTTGAAATCCAGCCCAGAATTTAGAAGTGAATCGAGAGTCGCGATCAGAGATAATCTTCACTTGTACACCGTGTCGCGAGACAGCTTCATTAATGTATAACTGTGCCCATTGATCCATAGAAAAAGACTCTCAGACGGGTAAGAATAGAGCAGATTTGGTCAACCGATCCACTATAACCCAAATACTGTCGTGTTGCCGTTGAGTCTTTGGTAGTTTAGTAACYAGATCCATAGTTAATTCTTCCCATTTCCACATCGGTACCTCGAGAGGCTGTAAACTACCATACRGTTTHTGGTGTTCAGYTTTTACTTGTAAGCATGTGGTACACTTCTCGACATATCGTCCGATATCAGTCTTCATCCCAGGCCACCAATAGTCTAAACGAAGATCTTTGTACATCTTGGTACTTCCCGGGTGAATAGATAACCGTGATTTATGCGCCTCTGCCAAGATARTCTCCCGTAAGCCTCCGAGTCTAAGTACCCAGATTCGAGTCTTGAAGATTTTAAGTCCGCGGTTATCGTCAATTAGAGAATCTGAATAACCCACCATGCGTTCAGACTTGATATGTTCTGGCTTCAAAGCCTCAGTCTGCCATCTCCGTAAGTCATTGATAAGAGTGAACTCCAACGATGTATGAGTGATAACGTAACACATAGATC